TATTGTATTTTGTTTATGTATTTTAATTTTTATATTTTTGTTGTATATCAGGCATGTAAAAAGCTGAATCAAATTGAGCTCTCAGACTGTGAGATATATGCCTCATGTGAGCCTTGCCCAATGTGCTTTGGTGCCATTCATCTTTCAAGAATTAAGGTTCTTTTTAAATAATGAATTTTATATATTCATTTGAAGTTTTTTTTTTTTTTTTTTTGATCTTTATTTGTTATTTGCAGAGGTTGGTTTATGGAGCTAAAGCTGAAGCAGCAATTGCAATTGGATTTGATGATTTTATTGCAGATGCATTGAGAGGTACTGGATTCTATCAGAAGGCTAATTTGGAGATTAAAAAGGCAGATGGGAATGGAGCAATGATTGCTGAACAAGTGTTTGAGAAAACCAAAGCTAAATTTGCCATGTATTAATTCATCTCAATTTGCATATTTCTAACTTTGTAATTGTTCAACAATTTGTTGCTGTTTACTACTGATGATTGAAAATGGTATAAATTCTGATGTTATAAATGATCAATTCGTCATACGTAAGTTTGTTTTTTTGAAGTGTTAGGTAGTGTTTCTTAAAATAGCTTTGAAAGTGACAGACAATACTCTTTTTGTGGATATACACTTTGTTGAGGTTTTCTGAAACTGAGAGTTTTCCAATTTGTTGAAGGTTTTTTTAAACAAGAATTTTCCTAAAATGGAGTTTTTGGAAATGAAGTGTTCCATAAACAAAACGCTTAAAAGACATACCCATGTGCAAGGTTAATTACCAATGAATACCGTATATTCATTCCATTATAAAGAAAAGAAAACCCTACTACTCTTAGTTTTACAATCAATAGATTCAAAATATCTAGTTTTCTGTGTATTCAAATGCTAAATATTTTAATTAAACTTTAAATTTTAGGCCATTCGGTATGAAGGCTTTTTCACGCATAGAAATCCAGAAATCCTGTGGATGATATATATATATATATATATATATATATATATATATATATATATATATATATATATATATATATATATATATATATATATATATATATATAAAAGTTCAATTGAGAAAATAAAAAAGGTTAAGAATGAGGGAATCATTTTCAGCTATTCATTTAATTAGCATATTAGCATAAAATACACGGTGGTAAATTTGTAAATATGATATATTAACCTTCAATCACAAATACCATTTCTTCTGAATCGTTTATCTATTCTTCATCAACACCATCTGTTATTCATTCATCTCGATTGTTCCTCTGTGTTCTTCATCAACATCATATGTTCTTCATCAACATCATACGTTCTACTATTTGTTCGCTATCAAAATCACATGTTCTTCATAAAAAAGACATTGGCACTTCATAAAAACATCAATTCTTCATCAAAAATCTTCGTTTATTCATCAAAATGTTGTGATTCGTCATTAAAAACATTTATTTGTACTACTAAGTGTAACTCGTGATTCAATCTTGTCTAGTTTCATTGACATCCAGCAAAATCGTTAAAATAATTCATATTTATCGATGTCACATCATTTAGTGATCACAAATCATTGAAACTTCATCAAAGGAACCTTCATAAATATCAAACAACAGGTAGCAATCGAAAGTTCATCAACATAACCATATATTTGAAGATTTTTTTAAAAATCGTTTTTCAAGTTTGAAAAACTTCGTTTTTTATACATTTTTTTTTCACAATTTTTTATATAAACTTATTGATTATTAATCGATTTTGATAGGATTTGATTTGTTTTGTAATTATTGGCTTCAATTGTGAATTTTTTACCATAGTTATATAAGTTAATTTATTTGCACGTCAATTGTTCGATGAAATGCATAAACTAAATATATCATGTAATATTCACAAGTGAATATGTCTTTATACGAGAATCAATGTATATCTTTTAAAAACACAGAGCAAGTATCTAATTGATATGTGAATAATATATAAAAATATATATTCACATGCGAATACATGTAATATTCACAAATGAATACAGGTAATATTCATAAATGAATACAGGTAATACGTCATTTTAAGGTCCTAAGTAAGTTTGTAATTCATATGTGAATAACATATAAGAATTATATCCGCATATAAACATATGTAATATTCAGAAATGAATATATATGTAATAATTAAATGTGAATATATATGTATTATTTACAAATGAATAAAACTGTCAATAAAACCGAGAACTATAAAATATATAAAATTAAAGATAAAAAACATATTTGATAAGAATATATATTTATTCACATACAACTAATCTTTTTAGGTTAATAAAATAATTATATAAGCATATATATTTTTATTAATGTTATATTCATTTGTGAATAAATGATAATTTTTTTTTTCAGAAAATTATAAAAATAGAAAAACGTCATTTTGAGGCCCTAAACAGCCTCGAATGGCCGAAAAACACCGTACATCACGACGAAGCTGTGAGTTTTGTAAATCGCACCATTTTACATCAAATATGCGAATTCCGTCCAATTCCAAGACTAAACTTCATTGCGGCAAATTGTTTTGATGATGTTACTAAATTTTCATTACTACTAGTGATGACATCATCATTATTCATATATGAATAAAGTTTAGAAATTATGACGACATATTTACTGATGATGTTATTAACTTTAATCCTACTAGTAAAAACATCGTTATTGTAATCTTTTATTTTTATTTATGTGAATAAACTGTACATGTTGATTTATTTATTTTGTGAATACAACCTTTATATATAAAAATAAATAATACACTATAAGCATTGGTTTGTGCATAATTTTTTTGTATAATGTAACAATATTATTTTACATGTAAAGTCAACATTATACTAAGACAAACAACATTGTATTGGTTAATGAATCTCATTTGCATTTGAATTTAATACGATCAAAATGAAGAATATATTAAATTGTATAACATTTACACGTGAATATAAAAATATATTGTCTTCGTCAATGATATCTTCTCAATTACGTCAACCAATCGTCAACCACCGAGATATGAACCAACCATTGATTGAAATGTTATTCTTTTATTGAGTTATAACGATGCCTGAAAAACATGTGAATACATATAAAAAAAATGTTAAAAATATATTTTTAGTTCATAATAATAGCGATTTATCACATTCTAATTATCACATGGTAAATTCATATATGAATGTATAATCATATGTGAATATTATATGATACATGTTGTTTATATTGTATATTTACATGTGATATTACATAGTATATTCACAAATGAATATTACATAGTATATTCACATATGAATATTATATAGTAGATTCATATGTGAATATTATATGATATATTTACTTGTGAATATTACACATTCTAGTCACATCTAAATATTGCATGATATATATTCATTCATGAATATTACACAGTTAATTCATATATGAATAATATATAATATATACACTTGTGCATATGATACAGGATATTCATATTTAAATATTAAACGATGCATTCACTTGTGAATATCACATAATATTTTCCCTTGTAGGTATTAGATGCTATATTCACTTATGAATATCAGATGATATATTCATATGTGAATATTACACAGTTTATTCACATATGAATATTACACAGGATATTAACATATGCATATTACAAGATATATTCACAAATATATATATATATATATATATATATATATATAATTTTTATATGTTATTCACATATGAATAACATATAAAATTGTATATTTTTTTGTGTTTTAATAATCATATATTGATTAAGGTGCGAAAACATATTCATACGTGAATATAACGTGGTCATTTAGTTTATGCATTTCATCAAACAGTTGGAGTACATACAAGTAAACTTTCTTAAAAATGCTAAAAACATGATACTTTGACTATTTAAAACTTACAAAATAGTAGATTGATAGAGAATTATATGAAATTTTTCAAAAAAAAAATGATTTGATGTTTTTCTAACCTTAATTTCGAAGTTTTGTTTGATGATCGATGTTGAATGAATGATATGAAGTGAAATTGCTGTTGATTATTGATGATATTGATCTAATGACACCGGGAGTAAAATGTATCGTAGATGTTGAAGATATTCTCGTATTCAAGCATAGTTGAAGGTTGGATTGAAAGAACCAAAAACGATTTTTTTTATCTACTGTTGAATGATGTTGATGAACGTGTTTTTGACGAAGATGGATGATTGATTAATACTAGATGATGTTGATCAATGATATAATTGAAGAAATCTGGATGATCGTTGAACGTTGGAGAAGAAATTTGGATGATGAACGATCGAGTATAATGAATTTGAATTGTTATCAAATTATCTACAGTTACATATCTGTGTTGAAGGATATCATATCATATTTACAAGTTTATCACCGTATATTTTAAGTTAAGATGTTAATTAAATGATTGGCCGAGAATGATTCCCCCATTCTCAATCTTTTTTTTTTCTCAATTGAACCCTCCTCTATATATGTACTATCAATTAATTATCTATGTTATTTTTCCAAATTCATATTTTTAATTAATAAATATGTTTGAATGTCTGAAAAATATGTTTTTCTTAAGAATATTAAATTACAACCTTTTGTTTAAAAAAATATTACAAACCTTAAACCATTTATTCGAACAAAACATCAATTTTTTTCTAAAACTATAAAAACAAAGATAAGTAAAAACAATATTAAATAATAAGACGATGTTAAATAATAATTAATTTAATAAAAGTAAAAGAAAAATAACTATGATATCAACTAATTTATAATAGAATAATTAAAAAGAAAAAAAAATTGATCATGAGTTTGATAGGAGCTTATTTAAGAAAAAATAAGGGTTAATTTAATATCAGTCTTTTAAGTTAAACTTGAGAACAAGACGATGTAGGGATTCCATTTCAATTTAATCATTTAATTCACGGAAAATGTCTACACAAACAAAATGACAAAAAAAAATAATAGTAAAAACATGAGTATAAAAACTGATATTATAAAAAGATAACTAAAAAAACAAAATAAATTTATTAAAAAATCACTTGATTGTAGCATTCCAAAATAACAACACTTTTTGGTCTATACTTGTATTACATCTTCTACACTGACAACACTTTCCAAATAAACCTTTTTTTTCAAATTTTAATAAGAATATTTCCAAAACATAGAATGGCTGCAAAACTATATATATATTATATAGTCCACAACAAGCTGCAAAATCATCAAACAATAACTAATCTATTTACCCTTAAATAACACACATCATCTACACACCTTGTTCATATTAAAGAACACCATTTATGTCAACTTTGGAGGATCAGTGCTGATTAAATTCGCCCATAAATTTGCAATTGTTACAAAATATGCATCTCCATTCCATATCACCATCTTCATTTCTGCTTACAACACAAAAAAACAATTATAGGGTCAGTTTGGTAATTTCAATTGCTACTCTAATTATTCACTGATTAACACACCTGGAACTATTCGTGGTGATAAAAGTGACAGCTGGCATTGAGATTCCTCTTCATCAAGATTGACAATTGAAAATTCATCAAGATCTCGAATATGACTAATGGACTCTGATAAAGAGTCAACAGATATAACCTCCTCAAATCCTGAAGTTGACCACAGAGAGTCACATTCTGCTAAAAGACCATAAAGCCCCTCTAAATTTACACCATTTAACAGTATCCACGGTTTGTAAAACTTAACTGCTGCTCCTAATATCACCACCACTCTATAAATCTCTCCAATGGCATTCACAAACTGTTTACCTGAAACCAAAAAAAAAAAAAAAACCAGATTAAATTTGAGATTGTGTTATAAATTATAACACAATCACAAATTTCATCATAGCAAAAAGCAAAAAGCAAAAAGTACCTTGTTGTTGAGATAATATTTGATGATTGATGTTCTTTTGTAATGATTGATTCAAAATCCATGTGGCATGTTTGAGTTCTTGAGAGCATACTTGAATCACCTTAAACCATTGAGTGACATAATTACATGCTTCGCCCTTTGGAGCTAATTTCATAATTTTCAACACTCTTGTAATGTGGTTGACCAGGTCAATGGCTGTTTGCAAATCTGATTCTGCCTAATCACAAGATACAAGTTAGATTTTATGCTGATAATCCCTCAATCACAAATAATAATAAAAAGTTTGTAACTTTATATTTATATGAATTGATAACTACATACTAATGGCAATCTTTTTGATATGTTATATTCTGAGTCGAATATTAGAAAATGTGGCTCATGGAGAGTTTTGATATATTGGTTTAAAGAAATAACTCGTGCCACGTCATCATCTTCATATACTTCTGTGGATATTATATCTTTTTGGTGAAGCTTCTCAAAGGCCTCCTACGATATGGAAAATAAGTTATTATTTTTATATAATCATCAAATTTACTAATACAACAAATTAAAAAATTTTAAAAACCTGAATTTGTTTATCAAGAGCAGCCACTTTAATATCTTCACCAGCAAGAGTAGCAATAATTTGAGCTTTCTGGATATAAATTAAAATATTACCAATTTAGTGATTTACTAAATCAATATTTTAAATTAAAAACATTTTTAGTAGAGCACTGACCTTTAGACCATGAAGATGGTGTCTTGCAACAAAACATAACTCATCCTTTAAATTGGAATATAAATCAATGAAATTGTTTAGTTTCTCTTTAAATGATAAATTCTGATTTTGAGGTTTTGATTGAGAGGAAGCATCCTTGAATTCCCATGAGCCATCATCAAAATTATCATCACCATCATCATCATCATCATCATCATCATTATTATTATTATTCACTACATTAGAAGTGATTGGCTCTGATTGGCTGTACAAATCGGATAAAATATCATTTATTGATAAATTTGAGCTAAGAGTACGCATGTGTTTCCCATGTGATGATGATGATTTAAACAATTCATGCTCAAGATTTAAGGAATTATCAACTTCAGTTTCATCTTCAATGCCAAAAATGGAAAGTGGCACAGGTTGTTTATAATTCTTTGGACTTGGCTCGTATCCCTAAAACAATCAAAGAATCATAAAAATAAAATTAATAAAAGGGTTGATGAGATGAATATTGGCAACAAACTATCTGAGATTTTTTCATTAATGAATGAAAATGCTATAATAAAAGATATAATGGTTGGAAATAGAAGAATAAAACAAGCTTAAATACTTAAATCTACCTGTGGCTTTGATCCAGCTTCTTGAAATGATATCTCAACATTTTCATCATCATTTTCATTACCCTCAACATGAGGTTGTGACACAGTGGCATCTTTACTTTTGTTTGACTCAGTTTGAGAGAATGAATCTGAGGAGACAGTGTTTTGAGCCACTGGACTTTGTCTGAAATCAAATCCATTGTGTGAATAATCATTAAGTCCATTTGGAAATGAAAATAGATCATTTGGTTTGTGAGAAGCATCATTAAGAACCAATGGGGAGTTGCTTTCCTCAGATACTTCCTGCATGTTTATGTCAATCTCAAATTAGACTTGGTCAAACCAAATAAAAGGGGTAAGTTTTGTTAGGTTTCAAACTTACAAAAACTAGTCCTTGAGTTCATTCAACATTGATATTGAAACATGTGCCACATATTTTCAAGAAATAACAAAAAAAAAAGCCATGTGATTGTGTACCTTCTTCTTTGATGGTTGTTCCATAAATGCAGCCTCAAACTCCCCAAAACTATCAACACTTCCACCTAGTGGATTTGAATTTAACTCGTTTGTGGTATCTTTGGAATTAGCTTTTATATCAGCTGCAAATCCATTATGAATGTTTATGATTGGCTTGGAGTTGAATCCACTATCAGTTACATGAGATTCAACAGAAACTCCATTGTTTGGTGCTCCAAATAGATCATTAGGCCTATGCGAACCATTGTTTGGTGTTCCAAACGGATCATTAGGTCCATGTGAGCCATCTTGTACACTTGGAGGAGACACAGTCTTCTCAGAACGTTCCTAAAAGAGAGGATTCAAACAGTCAAGGTGCACTCTTTTCCTATGGCGGAGTGTAATTGTAAGCAGACGCATCAAGTGAAATTCCAGAAAAGGGACTACGATCTCAATACTAACATGAATCAACAATCATTACCTTATTATCCTTCCCATTTTGCGCTAACTTGGACTCTGAGTAGGCATCCATGAATTCCCAGCCGCCTTCATCATCAGATCCATGATACCCAGAAGCACCAACTGAATGAAAGCTAAAAGAACTCAAGGATTCCGATTTTGAAAAAGGATCCTTGGATACAGCTGAATTTCTTGCAGTATAGTTCAATCCATTGCCATTATCGGCCGCCTTTGTGGCAACTGAATGAAAGCTAAAAGAACTCAAGGATTCCGATTTTGAAAGGGGATCCTTGTATACAGATGAACTTCTTGCAGTAGAGTCCAATCCATTGCCATTATCGGCCGCCTTTGTAGCCGTCTGCTGCTGTCTCGGACCATAAAGATCCGAGATCAAGTCATTGATACCCAGATTAGCATTACTTTTATCAGAATTGTTATTGGATGGAAAACCACTATTACCAGGAAAAGATGATTGCTTAACATCATTTCCTGCCACAGGCATAACCGGTTTCTTATCTTCCTCCTCCTCCTCTTCTTCACCTCCAAATAGAGATAGCGGCAAAGCTCCTTTTATCTTCTCCCACTTTGGCGTTGTCTGTATCTGTGGCTGCGGCTGTGGAGAATTAAGATTGTGATCTGTTGCGTTGTTTCCGACAAAATTGAAATCCCCCCAATCGTCATCGTCGCCGGTGGTGGCTGGAATCTGAGAGGAGGAATTAGGCGTCGGCTGGTTAGAGGCGAATGTGAATTCACCAAAAGAGTCGTCGTCGTCGTCGTCCGCCATAACTGTGGGTTGCTTTTCTTCTCCGACGCTCCGAATGGTTTGATGCGCACAAGATGGTTTGATCAATATCTTCGTCTTGTGCTCAAATTGTGAGGTTTCATTGTGAGTTGGTTTTGCATCGACACATATGGGGTGTTTGGACGTGCCTTTTAAGGGTTTTCAGGTTTTGCAAAATTACACAAAGAGAAATGATACTTTTAGTTGCTCTTTTGTATGATAAAAATTGAATCTTTTTCTAAATCTGATTCCTTTTTCTGATTCACAATGTTCTTGGTCTATGGATTGTCAAAATTAACGGTTAAATTGTTAATAAGTGGAAATAACTATTTAATATTTACTGTAAAAAAAAAAAAAATTTTGTGTATTCATCTAGATTTAGTTTTTATATATATTTTTTATTCATTTAAATCCTAAAAATAGAAATCAAAGTCGACTATTTTATACTCATTCATCTTTTAAAAATAACACTTTTGGTTTAGATTTAAAAAATTTTGATCTAGATTTTTTAATGTTATTATAAATTTGATCTAAAATTTACGTCGTTGGCCCAAATTTCAGAATTTGGTTATGAATTCATTATAATTTTTTTTTTTTAGAATATTTTTTCTCAAAAAAAATCAAATATATTTTTTCTTTATAAAATCATATTTATACAAAAAAAAACATATTTTCACATAAACAATCTTATATTTTTTATATAAAAACTTTTTTTAAAAAACTTTTATGTATGCAAATATCTATTTATAAAAATAGGTATTTATTAAATACATAAATATATACAAATTCATTTAAAAAAATATATATAAATAAACACGTATTTTACAAGAAAAAATGTATAAAAACATCTATTTTTGTAAAAACATATTTACATGCATCCAAATAAATATTTGTATACATTTCTTATATAAAAACATATTTCTATATTTTTTATAAACACCTATTTTATAATAAATGCACTTGTATTAAAATATGTTTATATAAATGTATACAAACACGTATTTTATATAAATATATTTAAACACGTTTTTATAAACATATATATACAAACATGTTATTATTATTATTATTATTATTATTATTATTATTATTATTATTATTATTATATATATATATATATATATATATATATATATATATATATAACACAAACATGTTTTCGATAAAAAGCTTCATTTGAGAGGTAGATTATCGACCATTAAATTATCCTTTTAAATGTATACTCTAAATAATAGTTATATAAGAATTAATATCGTAAAATAATAACTCATACTTAAATTCAAAATGAATTTTGATCACTGATAAAAAAAAATGTACATCATTAAATTAAAAAAACAAAATTTATTGTCATACAACTTTCTTTTCAATCCACACGACGTTATATTTTTGTTTAAACCCAAAATAATATATCAAACGGGTTAATTTCCAAGTTATAAGTTACCATATTCCAAAGCAAATTAGATTTCACTGTTAGGGTTTAGATTTTATGTGAAAATATGGTTTTTTTTTGTATAAATAATATTTTTTATGAGAAAAAACATATTCAATTTTTTTTTTTTGAGAAAAAAGTTGTAAAAATACTAAAGTTAAAATGAATTCATAACAAAATTCTGAAATCTAAGCCAAAAGGGTAAGTTTTTGACCAAATTTGTAATAAAATTTAAAATCTGGGTCAAAAGTGTAAATTTTATACCAAATTTGTAATATGGGCCAAAAGTGTAATTTTTAAAAATTGGATGACCTGTTAAAGAGGTTAAATTGAATACTATTACTGATTTTTAGGACTTAACTGAATAAAAAAAATATATAAAGATTAAGTTAATTATGAAGTCAATATGTAAGGACTTTTTTTTTTATAGTTTCCCTTTTAATATTGAACAAAATGATCATTGAATAACTTAATAAAAAATGCTATGTTTTTTGTTTTTGGGTAAATGAAAATTTTGTTTGGCATTTTGGACTAACTTTATGTCATTTAAAAAAATATATGACAAAAAAGTATATTCAAGACTAATATCTACTCTAATAAATAAATGAGTTTTTTTTTACCACTTATCACACTCTCATTCAATTTGTCAAATATCATTTTTATGGTTATTTTGAATTATTATTTTTTTTTCACATTTCATTTTATAAGTTTTTTTTTTTTTTAAATTTCACATAATATTTTAATGTAATAATTGCAATAAATATATTAATAAATGAATATCGATTTCATTAATGAACTTACCTTTTAATTTCAAAATTTTCAAACTTAAAACTCATTGGTTTCTTTTGTTTAAATATTTAAATTGTTTGTTTAAATTTAAAAAATAAAACAAAACATTTTCATTACAATAATTTATTATTTTTCTTATTTTATTATAAATTCAAAGTTCTCAAGTATTTAGACATATATATATATATATATATATATATATATATATATATATTAAATTAACCCATGTAATACATGGATCACACAACTAGTTGTTGACCATTTGTGAATCCAGACAAATTAAAACTATTCTAGAATTTTGAAGAAAAAATCTAGAATTTTGAAGAAAAAATCTAGAATTTCAAGAGATCTTTATTTTTACTAAAATCCAACAACAAATTAAAGAATAAAAAACAAATGAAAAGGAGATATGATAAAAGGACTCGGGTATATGACACTTAAATGGAAAGATGGTGATATAGATTTCAAACCGGCCATTTAAAACATAAATAGAGATAGGTTTTTGATTTTTAGGTGCAAATAAGAAAAAAAAATACATTATATATTTTGATTAGTCTGAATAACTCATTTTGAACAAAAGAAATTGATTTTTTAAAACACACAAAACTTTGTATTTTAACTAAGTTCTTCATCCGTAATAGTCATTTTTCTTTATATCCTTATTTTTTCATTAACGTCATCTTATTACATTATTATTAATAATAGCATGGCCACACCTTCCCTCCCAAACTGACAGTTGACCATGACAAATAATTGATAAAGATGGGCACCAATCTTTTGTCAAAGTTAAACTCAACAGTGAGTCTTCCACAATAAAACTATAAAAATACAACATTACTACTTCACATCCACCCTTCGAGATCATTGACATATGGCTAATTTTTATCATTCAAGAGCAAAGTTTCTCACTTGATGATGGCATTGGGCTTTATTCTAAATTGTTTTTACCAAAAACACTAATAACAATAACAAAAGTCTAAAAATAGAATAAACTTAAATCTATTTTTAACTCACCAATGATTATTTTGCTTAACATTAAAAGAGGTTAAACTATAAAAGAAAAAAGTGTTACAACATTTGAAGATTTTGATTTCTCGAGAGAGATTAGAAGTTGATGAAGATGACAAAAGACTCACATGAGATCTTCTCTAGAGATATCCACCAAGCAAGAGTAAACTACTTCAGGATGCTAGTAGTCACTTGTATTGAGTTGTTCTTAAGACATTAAGACTTATACCAAATAATCCTTGAGGATAACCAAATTATAAAGCCTTAATGTAACAACCCAAAATTTAAGACCAAAAATTTCTTTAATAAATCATTACTTAAAGTAACATCATCATTCCAAAACATAATATGAGTATAAGTTTTCAAAACATATGTTCGTTATCAGAGTAAACATCCCCAGGCTGTCTAATCTATGGTGTGTGCCATGCGATCACCCCGAGCTCTTCCCTCCGCTACCGGAAGTACCTGAAACCAAAACTGAAAACCGTAAGCACGAAGCTTAGTGAGTTCCCCACCCTACCACATACCATGCATAACCACATACTGCACATACTGGGCCACGCCCCCTATCTTGGGCCTCGCCCCCTACCTCGGGCCTCGCCCGCTACAACGGCCCCGCCGCTCCAGGCCCCGCCTGGCTTCGAGCCCCGCTCGGATACAGATCTGTTTTACTTAGGCCTCGCCTGTCACAGGGCCTCGCCCGTCAACAAATAATAACACATAAACATTTCATAACACATAACTAACACATGCAACTGGTTCTGTCCTAAGGCCTCGCCTTTCCTGGGCCTCGCCCATGTCCTGCTACTGAGGAGTCATGGAACCCCATCCATGCTCCTAATGGTAGTGAGGTACGGGCCTAGCCCACTCTCACTCCTGTTCTAATTCGGGCCTCGCCCCTAATCTGCTACTAGTGAGATATGGAACCCCATCCACACTCTGCTATTGGTGAGATACGGGACCTCGCCCACACTCACCTCCCTACCAGGTACATACATGTATCACACAGACAACAAGTATAAACTATCATATATAAACAATTCCTTGGGCGCCCGCCCGCTATTACTGGACCTCGTACTGCAAACAATGCTAGCATACTGTGCCTAGGGCTAACCCCCAGGTCTTCTACTCATAACTACATGGGCCGGCATTGTGGCCTTAGACCCATTCACACAAAGGGAAACTCACCTGAACTGGCTGAACTTGCTGATGATCTCACTAGCTGCTTCCCGACAACTCACGGAACTCCTGCTCCCCTTGCTCCCCGAACTACCAATATCAATGCAACACTGAGTCTAACTGACCCCCGAAAGACAATCAAGTCCACCCTGGTCCAAAGTCAAAGTCCTGGTCAAAGTCAACCTTCCAGGTCAACCCTACTCGCCGAGTCACCCTACTGACTCGCCGAGTTCAAAATGATCAGATTCCTTTCATTCGCGACTCGACTCGCCGAGTCAGTCCATGACTCGCCGAGTCTACCGATTTCTGAGTCCAGACCTGTTCAACTCACTGAGTCTCCACCCGACTCACTGATTCGAGTCACAACTCGAAGGGTTTGGGGTTTTGCGACCTGACTCGCCGAGTCCAAGAACAGACTCGCCGAGTCCAAGGCAATCTTCATACGACTCGACGAGTTGTTCATCCCACTCGTCGAGTTTCTCCAAAACTTCATGCTACTCGCCGAGTCCACTCAAAGGACTCGTCGAGTCCCTTCAGATCTCCTTACATGCAGAGGATTTTTGAGTCATGCATGGACTCCAAACTATAGATCCACCCT